AAAAAGTTTAACTGATTTTTTTTCTTTTTTAATAACTTATAGCATTAGTGCTGTTGCCATAGAGGTGCAGGACTTTATATTGCAGAGAAAATGAGCCCACAGTGAGGAAAAGTAAAAGAAAAGCAAAAGCTGCCAGAAACTGCTTGACGTTCAGAGTGTTAAGTTAAAAAAAGTTTTTACTTTTAATGACAACACACTGTTAGCTATCTTGTGCCACTATACTGATAAACTCCTTTGTGTCCACTAGGTGGCCATGAAGCACCCATCAGCCGTGACTGCTTGCAACTTGGACCTGGAGAATCTGATCACCGATTCAAACCGCAGCATCGCCACGTTGGCCATCACCACTCTGCTGAAGACCGGCAGTGAGAGCAGCGTGGATCGACTCATGAAGCAGATCTCCTCTTTTGTCTCTGAGATCTCCGACGAGTTCAAGGTCAGATGCTCTTATCTTAGTTATCGTGAATTTGACGGTGCAGTGTAACTACATCCAATACGTAGAGAGATTCTACGTAAGCCACCACATTTAAAAGTTGATGAAAGGTCCTCAAGGAGAACAGTGAAACCCTGAGTTTTTTAGGGATATACAATTTATCTTGCTTTAAATCACAAAGGCTGTTTAAACATGCAGAAGTTGCAAATACATCAAAACCAGAAGTATCGTTGTCAAACACCTGAATGTTCTATCGTCACTGTAATACAATATTTACTTAATGGTAGTGGCTGAGGTGTTTTTATCCCCCAGGATTTCAGCCTCTCTGCTCAAAAAACGATTTTCTCAAATGACTTTCACCCCTTTTTAAATCCTGTTGAGTGTGTTCTACTTTTCTGTTGTCCTAAATCCGTCTGTGCTTGGTGTTTATTTCAGGTGGTGGTGGTGCAGGCCATCAGCGCTCTGTGTCAGAAGTATCCCAGGAAGCACAGCGTCATGATGAACTTCTTGTCCAACATGCTCAGAGATGATGTACGTTGATTATGAACACACCACTGACTGTTCTTCACACCTCACACAATACATGCTGTAATCCCAGTTGGCAGTTTGGGACTAAATCTTTAATCTGGTTTGTATAAGCTGACACATGACGTAGAAGTGTTTTATTATAGCAGATTGAAGCATTATTGTTGTCCCAGATATTTATAGCAAAACAAAGTCAGTGTTCAGCCAAAGATCCATAGAAGTTAACAGCTGTAACTTACAGAAATGTGGTTGACTTATTCGTTGTAGTTGTTTCACATTAAATTTGAGCATGTGACTCACAGCGATTGTCTTTTTTCCTCACTGCAGGGTGGTTTTGAGTACAAGCGGGCCATCGTGGACTGCATCATCAGCATCATCGAGGAGAACCCTGAGAGCAAAGAGACCGGCTTGGCCCACCTGTGCGAGTTCATCGAGGACTGCGAACACACGGTGCTCGCCACGAAGATCCTGCACCTGCTGGGCAAAGAGGGTCCTCGCACCCCGCAGCCCTCCAAGTACATCCGCTTCATTTTCAACCGGGTGGTGCTGGAGAGCGAAGCTGTTCGTGCAGGTGAGACAAGTCTCCACATGCTGATCCATCTCCAGGATTTTCAATCAGTTCTGCTCTTTCTTTATCAACATAAAAGATAGTGGGATCTTGTATAGTTTAGCAGGGAGTATCACTATTCTTTTCAGGACCTGTTACAACACCTGAAACATTTGTTTGTTTCTTCCTCCACCTTCAGCTGCTGTCAGCGCTTTGGCTAAGTTTGGAGCTCAGAATGATGATCTGCTGCCAAGCGTCCTGGTTCTGATGCAGAGGTATTTATTTCCTGTCACTGCTTGTTTTTTGTGTGTGTGACTGCATTTTCTATACACGAGGTATAAATGTATTTATGTTACAACAATCACCTGATAAACTCTGAAACCATGAACTGTCCCAGAATGAATAAATTTGGCCACATTGACCATCCAGACTACAAGGCTAATATGTAACCTGCACTCTTGTTTGCATTAATCGAAATCTGCATGTGTGTGTAATGTGTGTTTGTTGTCGCAGGTGTATGATGGACAGTGACGATGAGGTGCGCGACAGAGCGACTTTCTACATGAATGTGCTGCAGCAGAAGCAGAAGGCTCTGAATGCTGCCTACATCTTCAATGGTAAAGATGAAGTCAGAGTACAGTTTTGGGGGGTTGTATGAGTGGATGATGTTGTGTCCGTAGTGGCTGCTTTTCAAAATGTACCAACTGTATGTGTGATGTAAAGAAATATCAAGTTCAACGTCTTTTCTGTGTGTTGCTCTCAGGATTGTCTGTCTCCATTCCCGGTCTGGAGAAATCCCTCCACCAGTACACGTTGGAGCCCTCAGAGAAACCTTTCGACATGAAGACTGTACCTCTGGCCACCACTCCCATCACAGAGCCCAAAACAGGTACACCCACATAGCTGTTGGCTAATCTGTACTAAGGTTACAAACTGAAAAACTATCATGTTCACAAATCAGACAGTTAAACAGGAATGTTTTTTTTTTTTTCTCTCCTTTCAGAAATCGCCCCCGTTGCTACCAGCAAACTGCCAGAGAAGTTGGCCCGATCACGCCAGGACATCTATCAGGGTAAGTCTGTAAACATGACTCTAGATGTGGATGACGCAAGCAGACGCTGCTATTTGCTTTCACTGTTTGTTAAGATGTAATAAAACAGCCTTGGTTTTTTCCCCCGTTTTCGATCCCTTCACAGAACAACTGGCGTCCATCCCAGAGTTCCAGAATCTCGGCCCGCTCTTCAAGTCTTCTGAACCGGTGCAGCTGACGGAGGCCGAGACGGAATACGTGGTGCGCTGCGTCAAACACACCTTCGCCAGACATATGGTGTTCCAGTTCGACTGCACGAACACTCTGAATGACCAGCTGCTGCAGAAGGTTTGTGTTGTTCTGTGGCGATTTGACAAAACGTTCTTCTGTAACTCTGAAGGGTTTTATGATTTCAAACAGCCGTGTTTAAACGAAACCACAGATGTAAATGTAATGTGTGGTTTTCTGTTTTAGGTGGTCGTACAGATGGAGCCATCAGAGGCCTACGAGGTGATACACTACATCCCCGCCCCCAGCCTCCCCTACAGTCAGCCTGGTTCATGCTACAGCTTGGTCCGCCTGCCCGATGACGACCCCACCGCTGGTAAGAACACTGGGACGGCACTGGGCTTACTGGGGCAGAGACGCAGGGTTTGGAGGGATGATAAAAGAGAATTAGCTAATGTACTTTTTACTGTGTACAAGAAAATGTTGATGATGTGTATGTTGTCTGTTTGCAGTGTCTTGTACATTCAGCTGCACAATGAAGTATCTTGTGAGAGACTGCGACCCCAACACAGGAGAGCCTGACGACGACGGTTATGACGACGAATATGTGGTACGTAATCACATCCACGAAGGATGAACAGCAGAAGGGAATGTACAAAATTGTTTACCCAACTAATTCTCTTCCGTGCTGTGCTTTAGCTGGAGGACCTGGAGGTGACGGTAGCAGACCACATCCAGAAGATCTTGAAACCAAACTTTGGAGCAGCGTGGGAAGAAGTAGGAGACGAGTTTGAGAAGGAGGAGACCTTTGCCCTGGCATCTGTCCGGACTCTAGATGGTACGTCACAATCAGGCCTTGAGGCTTGAGCAATCAATGAATTCACCAGTAGTTTGCACATTAAATTCGAGGTTCATGTGTCTGCTCGGCAGTGTTATTTTTGGTTTGTCCATTGACTGACACTGATTGTGACTTCTCTGTGGTTTTCATGTACAGAGGCGGTGGGTAACATCATCAGCTTCCTGGGAATGCAGCCATGTGAGCGCTCCGACAAAGTTCCCGAAAACAAGAACTCACACGTCCTCTTCCTTGCCGGTGGGTGTCAGAAACAGTCACTGTCTGGTCTTCAGAATGCTTAGAGGTGTTATCAATACTGGGACAAGTGGCAACTCAACAGACTATAGATATTTAACCACCAACATTTTTGATTTGTTTCCACGCTTGTCTCTTTTTATGAGACTGTTGACAGCTTTACTCCCTGATGATAAGAAGCTCAGAAATAGTTTTGGGTTTTTTTTGCAAACTTTGTTACAATAAATGCTGTATTTTTGCAGTTTTTTTTTTTTTTTTTTTTTAACTAAGACAGCTGATTTGATGAAGTATCACAATTTTAAGCTTTGGTTTGACTAGTTTGACACATTACAAATGTTTATGGACCACTGGAAAGTTGAAAATCTGACGGTTCTTTCTGTTTTCACAGTTTCTGGCTGTGATGGTCTAATTTTGGTGACTTTGTTTAAAAACTTATGAAGAAAACATGTCTTCCAAACGTGCCAGCAGGTTTTAGGGCTAAGCCTCATAGTTCAGCCTAATCTCAAAATAAAATTGTCTTACTCTTAATATAAAATGTAACTGTTGGAAGCTAAAAATATAATAACACAGTAAGAATGTTCCCATTAAAGCCCAGTACTTATTTTTTGTTGTGTACTGTCAGATTTAAGAACCTGTTCTCTTATTTGTCTACAAACGATACTGTTAATCTCGTACTCTGTCAAGGTTCTTACAGCTCTCCCACTCTTTCCTCTCAGGTGTGTTTCGCGGAGGTCATGACGTGCTGGTTCGTGCTCGCCTGGCGCTGGCCGACGGCGTCACCATGCAGGTGACAGTTCGCAGCAGTGAAGAGACCGTCGTGGACGTCATCCTTGCCTCTGTGGGCTAAAACGCTCATCGTACAGCTTCGTGCCAACGCAGCCACAGGAGCTTTCGTCTCTGCACAACAAACTGAAGCTTCTTCCTCACAGCTCTATGGTAAACCTGTACTGCTCTTGTGACTATTACGTGGACATCAACAACTACTTTATTACTTCTAGACTATAAACTAAAAACTGTTTATTTCTTTGGCTGTCTTTTTATCGTCTGCTGGTCCTCATGTTTCTTTGAAAAATACTCGTCAAATCTACAATAAATTCTGACTGTCAAAGTACTGACCGTCTTATTTGTTCCAATCAGGTTAAGACACTTTTTACAAAACTAGTTTTATTTAAAGAAAAGTTGACAATTAGTTTTAATTCACTGACATCAAGAGAAATGTAGAAAATTATATCAAAAGTCATTCAGAATGCAGCTGATTGATTGAACGAAACAGAAGATGGAGGGAATGAAAACCATGTCCCACAGATAAGTTCAGTGATCATACGCCCTACCATCACTGAACAGTGTCCTCATGGCATTTATAAATTAAGTACAATTATTATTCTTTATTCTAGCTGACATTTTACATCTTCCATGGCAGTAAATGACATTTTGGGACTTGGTGCTGGTAGATTAACTGATTAAATCTCAAACTCATGCAGCCTTTCTCCTGGTCACAATCAAAAGAACACATATTTGCACCAACATATGAATATTTCTCACTTTGGTAGTTTTGCAACACTTTGACTAAGGTTTAATTTTCACTCTTGAACATGGAAGCTGCATTTATTATCCCTTTTAGAACGAGTGGATGAAATTGAAGTACGCGTTGAGGAAGCCGGTGGGATCTTCTAGCTGAGGGTAGTGGCTGATGTGTTCATCCAGAACAGTGATGGTCGACCTCTGAACCAGCTGCCTGTAGGAACGACACACGAGTTTTTACAATAAACAAGATTACTGGACATAAAGAACAGGAAAAACCATTTCAAGGAGGTGACACTGATTAGGAATGACATGTAGAAGCTGGCTGAGAGGTTAGATGAGCTGAAACTAATATATACTTGGTTACCGACTAATGCTCCTTAGTGTTGAGTGTATTATAGAGGGTTTCTCTAAAAAAAAAAATAGATGCATAACTTTGGTGGCAGAAAAATATTTGAGTGGAGATTGACAGACACCAAAATACTCGTCATGGTTCAAATCCAACCAAGAAAACATTTTGCAGTTTGTTCTTGGATGTTTCTTGCTGCCGTTAAAAGGACAATCTACAGCTAATGTCAGTGTGAAGGTGCTGGTGAAGAGGACAAGCTTGCGCCTTTCTTGCAAGAAATTCATTGTTCATATCTTTTTCAGGTATAACTTTTGCTGTTTGTCCTCTTAAGTATCTTCTGGTGCTGTCTTAAGAAGAAACTCCAGCTAGGATTGGTGTGTGAAACAATGCTGAAAGGAAAAAGTGTCTCCCTTTCATGTATGAGGTCTATGGCTCAAGTTCACCTCCAGAATTTTGCAGTTAGTCCTCTTAAAAGCTTCCCTGTGCCTTCATAAAAACAAACTACCCTCTTGCCCTCTTAAATGCCTTCTAAAGTAGCCACAAAAAAAGAAGCTGAACCTGGTGTGAAAGACAGTAGTTGAGAGGAAGATCTGCACCTGAGACAAAGCTGAGTTTGCGTAAAGAGACTCAAATGAACAGGATTCTCATATGACAAGATTGAGGTGATAAGAATGAGATTCCCACAGACGCAGAAAGCAGCTGATGAACACAGCTGCGTTGGTGAAGGTGAACTCTGTAAAAAACAAGTCAAACGAGATTCCAAAGGTAGCAGAACACAGTGGGAGACTGTGAAAGGATGATGAGGAAGGAAAATCCTGAAAGTGGTGTAAAAGGAAAGCTGCAGTGCCAGTGAGAGAACTAAGAAAGTGAAAATTATTTTTTTAGGTGGCAAAAAAGAAAAACATCCACCAAAATTTAAGCTTATCGGTGACCTGGCTTCAAACTCCTGCCATTCGTCCTGCATCACAAGCTCATTCACACTTACACACAGCCTTGAGATGAGACAGAGGAGATAAGATGTGCAGCGCAAGAAAACAGAATTAAGAAAACATATAGACAGAAGCTAATCTGCATGTGTTTTCATGAACAAATTTTAAAAAGACTCAAAGTTAACTGTGAATTTAAATCAAGTCAAAAAAATTAATATCTGAATGAAAGAAACTTTTTATAGAAAATCAGTGTTCAGCTTAAATCACAGTGAACTACAACAACAACAAAAAGAGTTTGGGTTAGCTCCATATCATCTTTTTTCTTTGTTGTTGTTGATTTGTCTCTAGTTACATTTAGTAACCGCACTGTAGGAAGATCAGCCCAAATGGGGTGATAATCCGAACGGGGGTTTAAGAATTAGAGGAAGGGGCACTCACTGGTAAAGACGGATGAACTGGGGATGAGGGTTGACTGGGTCCAGGGGTCCGTAAATCATGTGCACTGCAACACAAGGGGGGTGGAAGAGGGTTAGTGAGGGAAGACAGACGGAGGAACACTGAGAAATGGAGCAGTGAGACACACAAGGGACGATAACAGAGTTTCATTATACAGTAAGAAAACTAACAGCAAGTGAAGATATTTCAGTTTGTAACAAAGCAGTGGAGCAACCTGTTCTAGTTCAGATATCATTTCATGTGAAGAGGGAAGCCACATGATTTTCTGATCATGCAATTCGTCATAAAGCTGAACTTTAGCCCGTTTTGTTGCAGTTCCTCTACTCCACACTCCCCCATCCAGAGCTCTGGATCGGACATCGTGGTCGCTCCTGACAGGCTAAGCAGCTTAGCATCAGACCGAGGCAGTAAGACACACAAAAGCCCCCCTCTGATTTACTAACACCAGGACGTCCGGTGCAACTTACGTGGGACGAACGTGGAAGTGAGCGCTCCCACCCATCGGTCTCTGTGTTTAAATCTCTGGTTGATGTATTGGAGGATACTGAGAAAGAAGCAGAAACCCAAATCAGACGTGAGCAAGCAGAGGGTTGTAGTAAACATGAGGTGAGCGTGCAAACACACGTACCTGTCCAGAACTAAGTTCCCATCATTGTAGCGTAAACTCGTCCACATGTCCCAGAACTCAGCATCGGTGGGCTGCGTGTACGGGCCGAACACTTCTCCTAGCCTGTCAGTCAGAAAGCAAAACCACTAAATCATGTAACTGCACACCGTGGCACAGATGGGCACAAAACTCAGGTTCTCGTACCCCTTTTGGAAGATCACATAGTTGGTGAGACGCGTCAGAAGTGGAGCAAGAAAACTCGAGTCCTTGAGAAGCTTCAGGGAACAAAACAAAAACACGTCTGGGAAAACTTTGACAGGAAATAGCTACGTAAACTTGAGCCCGCTATTAGCTTCTTCAAATCTTCTCACATGAGCTGAGGAGTAGGATGGAAAAAACAAAGGTGACTCACCATCTGCAGCAACCGTGGGTGGTGTGTTTCTGGGAATAGTCCTGTTGGAAACCAAACAGTCAGATTTGAAGATATGTAGTTGAGTAAAGGTACAAATACCACAGTGTGAAAATACTGCACTGCAAGCAAAAGTCCTGCTTTTTAAACCCTTACTGAAGTACAAACATATTTAAAGTATCAAAATGAAAAAGAAGTCATTGTGGAAAGAAACAGCTTCCTGTCAGCGCTTTACTATTTAGATGACCTTGAAATAATATTACTGATGCATGTTGCATTTTACTATTTGAGCTCATTTGAACTACTTTAAGACTGTTTGGTTGTTTTATCTGCAGGAATGTGTTATTTTCTATTTTCTTCAGTAGCATTGAGAGCAACATATTTCTAAGTTTTATACTTTTCATAAGCTTCGGAAAACAGTCCTGTGCTCAGCTTTGTGACATTTTCCAGCCAATACAAGACTTAAAAAAAAAAAAAGAAAGTTTGTCAAAAACACCCAAAATCACCTTACATTTAGAGATACATGGTCTCTGCAAAGTAACTAAAGCTTATTGGAGTGATAGTTGCCTCTGAGATGAAGCGAAAGTCAAAAGTTGTGCAAAATGAAAAAAACTCAAGTACATTAAATTAGTACTTGATGTAAAGTAATGAAACTGATTGAAAAATGTTCATGTAGAGCTGCAACTAATGATTCCGAAAACAAAAAAACTAAGTCTTTAAATTGCTGATTTTGTGCCACCAACTGACTAAAACTAAAAAAAAGTCAGTTTATGACGCAAAACACCTTCACTGTGATTGGCGATAAAAAAGATTTTAATGCCTGGAAGAAGTAAGAACGAAGTTCTTGACTGCAAAGTTTTGGATTCCTTCTCTACTGCAACCAATCAGAAAAGCTTACACGAGCAAAGAAAATAAAGTGCACTATACCTCCATTAGAAAGACAAAGGCTGTTGAAAGTCAGGTGACCGGTGCGATTTTGGTCACTCCTAGATTGTGAGCAGAGAAAAGCCAACAAAAAGAGAGAGATAGTGAGCAGTTTCTCTTTTTACCCTCTTGTTTACAACTTGCACACAAATCACCTGTAGAGCAGCTCCAGAGCTACAGTGTCTCCGTAGTCATGAGACACCACGTTCACCCGCTGGCTGCTCAGACCCAAGTGGGCCACCAGGGCCTCCACCACACTGGCCTGCTCGAAGATGGAGTACCTGTGGGGCCGCTGGCATGTTAACGGCAGAGGAGATCAAGAGTTATGCAAAAGAAAAGAAAGAATCATACAGAAAACATGTTTCCATTACTGAATCTGTAACACTGGATCCAAGGGCTGAACACAGGTTCCTCTCCTGAGTGAAACTACACATTTAAACACACAGGTTTTATGACACTATACATAGATGTGTGATAACCCCATGGTAGAATACATATAAACATATTAAAGTGCAATTTGTAACAACTAGCACCAGTGCAGTTTAATATTGCGAAACTTAAACTGTGTGACTTTGAAGAGCGCTGTACCACAGAGAGGCGGTGTAAACTCTAACAAGGTTATCTCGATTCTTTATCATCTACCAGAAGGAAGAAGCTTGCATTTAGAGCAAAGGACATGGGAAGGGTTTGCCAATATTCGCTTGGCTCCTCTGAGCACAGATTGCTTATGTAAAGATTGAAAGGACTTTGATTCTTTCGGCCCTCGGGCCTTCATGGTGATCAGATCAGGCACAGAGTTTATCACCCTGATCGGAATAAGATGGGCTGAACGGCTACCACACCATACCTGAATCCTGCGACTGATTAGGGGATCCACGACTAGCTGGCAGAACAGATCCATACATTTCTAGCCTCCTTTACTCACCGGCTTGTCACTGAAGCCAAAACCGAGGAAGTCCAGTGCAATGACTCGATGGAAGCGCTGTGTGAGAGGATCCCAGATCTGTAGGGTAAAGACACAAAATCACACCCGTTCAGACTCTAGTTGGTTCAGAAACAGACTCTACTATAATTAGTTTGGGTGGGTACCTTGCTCCAGTCGTGGCTGGAGGTGGGGAAGCCGTGGAGCAGAATGACGACATCTGAGCTCCCCAAAGCACCGTAAGAGTCTGGTTTGTGGAGAGAAGAGGGACACGTTGAGCACAGATCCATTTAAAACCATGTGTGGTACAAGACAGCACCGATCCAAGATAAGTTCATGCCTGCTTTCAAGTACAAATGTGACTGCTGGAACTGAAGACAGTGTTGAACACAGGAAATCAGAGAAATCACAGCTCCAACTATCTGTCTCTGGCACGGTGCATTTCTAACAGCAGTGGCGGAAGAAGAAGTGTCCAGATCAGTACCAATACACTGATGTAAAAGTACTGCATTACTAGTGAAAGTCCTGCATTCAGAAGTGAAGTATGTATTATCAGTAATATGTACCTAAAAGTACTTTTTCTGTGGTAAAATGGCCCCTGTCAGTGTTTTAATATTACATGTGATGTTTTTGGATTTATGCTTCGTGTTGCATTTTACTACTACTATGTTTGTTTGAGCTCATTTTGAACTGCTTTATATTCTGTTGAGCACTTA